CGGCGGCAGGCGGGCCCGGTGCCCCGCTGCGCCGCGCCGCGCTGCGCCCGGGGCGCGCCGGATCCCCGGAGCAGGGCAGCGAGGGGTTAACGCGGAGCGCGGCGGAGTTTGTGGCCAGAAGGGGGAAGGGGCTCCTCCATTCATTAATTCAGCGCCCGGGTTATGTAACAGGCGGCGATGACTGCGCAGCTTCGCGAGGCGGCAGCCGGCGCCGCGACAGGCGAGCGGACGCGGGACCAGCGGCTCCGGCGGGCGCGCCGGGACGGCGAGGTCCGGCGCCGCTGCTCCCCGCGTGCCCCGGCCGCGAGGGGGCGCAGACAGGCCCTGGGGCGCAGCCCGCGCCTCGCCACCGGTTGCTCGCCCCGTGCTGCGCGGCGCCCGAGCTCTGGCCCCCGTAGATCTGCCGCGCAGGCCGGACGCGGAAGGGCCAGGCTGGGAGGGGGCGCCGCCGACTGGACCCGCGTGTCCCAGCAGCCCGCATCACCGAAGGGAGTTGCGGGGCAAGCACGTAGGGGGCGCCAGGTTGGGGGAGGCTGGGCCGGCATCACGCAGGACCAATCCAGCCAGGATCCTCGTTCTGCCGGTCTTATGAGAGGGCCACCGTTGCGCACACACCCTGCCCGTGACAGTTGGGAACGTGAGAAAAGCCCAGGCTGGACCAGAGGCAAGGTCCGTCTGTCCCAATGTTCTCTGTGAGCTGTGGGAAGCCCACAAGCCGGACTGGCCGCAACGCCCCCCCCCCGCCCTCCCCCCCGTGTTCCTCAGCAACCTGCACTCACGGCATGCTTCATACTGGGGGAGACCGTGGCCATCAGCTCTAGGAGCCATTGGCAACCTCCAAGAGTTTGCCTTTTAATGCCACCCTGGTTGGCAGCTCTCGCTACATCCTGTGGAAGTGAGTTCCAACTCTGACGGATTATTCCTGAAGGCAGCCACCATTGCTGGTTAACCCAGGACAAAAATACCAAAAATACACTGGCTGAGCAATCAAAGGTTTGCCAGAAGTCCTCCAGGCTGGTGAAATGGAGGCGTTGTAGGCTGCCGGGAGAGCCTTCGGGTTATGGGGTGGCGCAGAAGTGGAAAGCAATCAATATCCTGGCACAGCGGCTTGGAAATGCCAGGGAATGCTGAAAGGGGTGGCGTTGCCGGGGGCAGTGGGATCCCTGAGCTCTTCAGCTCCCTCTTGGCTCCCCTTCTGCAGTTGCAGTGAGTCGGGGGAAGAGAAAACAGCTGTCCGCACACTGCTAGCCAGACCTGCCTGCGTGGCCCTAACTGCATATTGTGGGAAATCACAACCAGTTCACAGCACGCCACCACGAGCACACGAAGTCCACTTTCATCTAGGCGATGGCAGTGCTCGGGGTTGCATCTCTCTAGGCGTGCGTCATGCGTGACGTGACATCCCTCTATTAGTACCTCAAAGGCTGTCAGAGGAAAGTCAAAGCCTCTTCTTGCTGGTACCGGAGTGCAGGACACCCTTAACCATCAGGACACATTCCTGGCATCCAGCCGAAATCTTGCTTCCCTGAGCTTTGCTCCATTGGAACATGTCCTGCCCTCCGCTGCAGGGGAATTAAGGGCATGGCCCACCTCTGCGTGGCACCCCCTCACGTACCTGCATGTGGCGAACAGGTCCCCTCTGAGTCTCCTCTTCTCAAGGCTGAAGAGACCCAGCTCCCTCCGTCTCTCCTCACATGGCTTCCCCTGCAAACCGGCCACCTGCGTTCCATATGCATTCATTGCTATGGATATATTCAAATCCATGTGCATATATTTTAAAAGGGGGAAAAGCTTTACAGAGGCCTATGTGGCCCCTTCACAACCTGTGAATATATCACAGGTACCAGCAAGTACCTGTGATATACTTGCTGGTACCTCCTGCTCTGAGGATGATGGCACAACCATCCCCCAGCACTGGGCCGTGGAGGAAGAGCACAGGGAATGCAGCTCTGGGGCATTTCCAGAGCAGGGAGAGGCTGCGCCTGCTCCAGGGACCGGGCAAATGGCGGACATGCTTTGCTTTGCCAAACGAATGAGGTGATAACGAGGCTTTCAAGTTTTCCTGTAGGGTGTGAAAGATTAGCACAAGACGGCATATGGCCCTCCAGTGCAGGCCCACCGTCTCTGCTTTCATCTCACGGTTTGTTTTCATTTTTAATAATACAAAAAAGATGCAACTTTATTGCGTAGGAGCTAAAAGGCTACATTTAGCTTATACACTTTTGGGGTGGGGTGGGGTGGCCCATAGAGAAGCAAATTTGCCAGCAGAACTCCCAAAGCTGTCCACCCCAGGCAAAGGGGAAGTCAGAGAATGGGGAAACTAGCCACATGGGGCTTAGGTAGTTCTTGCCTTTGACAAGCTTACTTTCTACTGCATTCCAGCAGTGGAAATGGGAGCATCTCTTGCTTGCATTTCTGATTAAAAGCCAAGGTTACTATTCAGCTGGCTGAACATGGTTTGTAAAACTCACTGTGTTTTAGAAGATGAGTGTATGCCATCAGAATGGGGCCCAATGGAGCTTACATCCAAGTGCTGTAGTTACACCGGCTCGAATACATTCAACATTAAGCCAAGCATGAACACACCAACCTTCCTGCATCTGGCACCCTCCAGATGGGCTACCCTGCAAGCCCCATCATTCCCAGCCCACACAGCCACTGGGAATCCTGGTGCACATGCTCAAGATGTGCACTCAAAGGCAGCCAGGGGATTGCTTGCGGGCATCATGTGTCCCCCCCTTCAGGTCTCCTATTGACTCTCAAGCAACCTGAGAAAAGTTGCCTTATTGGGGGGATCCAACCACAGCTGGGGCTGTGGAAGGGAACATCTGGCCAAGGGGGTTTAAAAGGCCCTATCCCACCCCCAATATGACACTTTTCGGCTGACTCCCCGCATATTTCCAAAAATACCTGCTAGAGGAGTAAATCGGGGCCAATTGATCAGACAGTCTGCTGAAATGAAGAATTGCATTCATTGCGTGTATTTCACACCTGTGCTTCCTCTTGCAAGGAAAGCTGAGGCAGCTTCCACCGTTCTCTTCCTCTCCATTCTATCCCTGCAGCAACCCTGTGAGGTAGGCGACACAGGGCTGGCCAGGATCCCCAGTGAACTTGTACGCTTTGGGGGTGGGGTGGGGTGGGGGGAGTCTGGTCCACTGAGTGTGGACCAGAACCCAGATCTCCTGAGTCCCTCTGGCCACAACACTATTGCCCAGCCAGCCTTCCCGCTGCATTGGGAGCTCTTTTTAAAATGATTCAGCTGCACTAAACGATAAGCGAGACCTTTATGCCTGGACCTGCCGGAGGCTAAAGAGCCGTAGTATATTGCATTCCACTTCTGCTAAGGACTGGGAAGTCCATGCAAGGACTTTCAATAGTGTCTCACGGATGAACAAAAAGAGACAGCCGCAATGATCTCCTTTCTATGCCCAGACGCGCGTCAGCCATTTGCCTGGGCCCTGAGCTGTCATGTTCACAAAATTAATCAGGCATTGCTGCTGCAGGAACTTGGCTGCAGATCAGCCCAAATCCCTGGAAAGTGTCCCACACAGTGAATCGTGGGGAGACTAAGCTGGTGTTCTTCCAGTGCTCGGGATCCTTCCTCTTGTCAAAACCCACTTGCAATGCCCACAGGCTAGGAGACTCCTCCTCGGTCTTTGCTTTCTAGCTCTGTTGTGATGTCATCTAATTCCCTTATGACTGCGTAAGTCTCTAAGCGCAACTGTCCTTGATGTGGCTCTGCTCGCAAAGAGGCAACGGCGCAAGCTGCGTTTGCTGCGGCTCATTCACCAGCGAGCTGTGCTGGATGTGGCGCCCGTGCATGCACCCTGTTCCTATCACTGCTCAGTTTCACTGGGTTACTCCCAAGTTCAGTTCCATGTTTAGAATCCAGATTTATACCACACTTTTCCCTCCACCCTCAAAAGCGATCAGGACAACTTCGAATAAGAGATTTGTAAAAACACCATAATCTACATAGTTCATGCAAAATAAGCTAAAAGTGGCAGAATAAAAGAGGCAGCAACAATCTTAAACTCTGGAGAAATTAGGCAGCGAAGAGGGTGTTAAACAGAGTTTCTCTAGGGAGATTGTTCCAGATCTGGGGTGCCACCACGGAAAAGGCCATTCCGCTTGTAGCCCACCGCTGTATCTCGGGCAGTAGGGAAACCTGGAGGAGAATCTCGGATGAGGCACCGAAGTGCAGGCAGGCGCTTGGGAGGCCCAGGTGGTCCCTCTGGCGCCTTCGTCCCAGTGGGTTGCCAGGCACAGATTTTGCAAGGACCCGACCGTGGCTCTCACGGTGTCTGCTGTCACTGCACCCCACCACGCACGCGCAGGGCGCTTCACAAGCAGCGGGCGAGACGCGGGAGCGCCCGCGCGGTTCAGCGGTGTGGCTCTAAGCTCGTTTTCGGCGCAGCCGAGTTGCAAAGAGTTAAGCCACAGGCTGAAAAGATGGCCCCCCACCTGCAGAGGTGGCCTGCGGCTCTGACCCATAATTCGATTTTTCATTTTGCCTCCCGTGGCAAATGTGTTTACTTTTCACGGGGGGGGGGGGGGGGACGCAGACCGAACAGCAGTCCCGCAGCGCCATCTTCAGGCCAGAGGGTTTTAAGCCATTGTTTTCAGCTATCGCCTGAAATGAACCCCTTCCATTTTTGCCTGTTTCTGGAGAGTCAAATATTTATGTTCCCCGACACTCCATTGTTATGTAAGTCTCGATGCTCAAGGCCTCCCGCCACTGGAAGGGGGAGGGTGTGTGGCCCCCGGGCGCGGAGCACAGGTGAGCCGCTGCTGGACGGAAGGAAGCAGGAGCAGGCGGCCCACCCCTCCTCCCCAGCTCCCCCACAATGCCCTGCTCGGGAGGCTGCAGCACAGGGGGTCTCCGCCCCCCTGCCCACCCCAGGATCTTGGGAAGGACCCCTCTGAGCAAGGCACCCAGGCTGGGCTGCCGGGGTGACTCACCTGCCAGGTGGCTGTCGGGGGCCCTCCCGGAAGCCGCGGGGGGGGGGGCGCACACCTCAGAGCTGCCCTGGGAGCCACAGGCGCAGCGCATCCGAGCACCCACCTGCGCAGGCCTGAGTTATTCGTGTTCTTACTTTGCATTGTATCCTGCCTGTTTTGCTTTTGCACGGGAGCCAAGGTAGCTTGCACAGCCGACTTCTGCTCCGCTTTATCCTCACAACAACCCTGTGAGGTAGGTCAGGCCAGGAAGGACACCGAGACCCATGCCCGTCCGGCAGCAGGGAAAAGTGGCTCCACTGTCACTCCAGAATCAACCCCTGAGGTGGAGGATTCAGCCTTCCTCCCGGGAGGGTGGTGTTGAGCAGAACTCTCAGCCAAACCTACTCGGAGTTGGACACATCCTGGCCCCATACTTGAGTGAAGCTGCAAGGTGGACCCCCACAGCCCCCTGAGTGGGAGGTCTATCCACTTCATGGGGAGGGGGGGCTCTGTCCTGCCCCCTGTGAATCTCCCCCCTGATTTCAAACTGCAGGGTCGCAAAACAAACCGGTGGTTAGAGAAGGCTGCCCCTAGTGGCCGGAGATGCCATTGCAGGCTTTGACCACATCCGCACCGGGAGATTCCTAAACATCCATGCCCTGAAAAACCCAAATGCCCCCGAGCTGCCGAACCCCACGGTCCCCAGAACAGGCACGCCAAGTTTCAGCTCTCTGGCTTCACGGACTGGGCACTAGGGCACTGAAATGGGTGGGCAGCAGAGCACTTCGCGGCAATCCTATTAGAGGTCATTATGGGATGCAGGGCAGAGGGGCCAGATGGACTCTGGAGTGTATATATAGCGTGGATTCCATGATCCCTTCCCTTTTGAGTCAGACTGTAAACACGCTGAGTTTGACGAGTTTCACATCCCAGGGCAAATCTTGCAAGATAAACCGCCTTGCCTTGGGCTTCGGGAGCTGCGAAACACATCATCTCAAAGGAATCCAATTAGCGCTCCCTCCCTGCGTCAGAGGTGCACGCGCACCATCCATCGCAGCAGAGCAGCCTCGGATGCACGCAGCGGCCTGACACCGCTGGCAGCCCCCCTGCACGAGTCGGAAGGGGCTCTGCGTGGCTGAAGGCGGCTCGGAGCTCTGCGTTTGCTCGGTGGCGACAGCTAAGCCGGAGCGGAAGCCGTACGTGCGCTCTGTGCCAGAGGCATCCAGCACAGGAACGGGAGACAGCCTGTACCGGAGCAGAACGCTCGCTTCAAGCTTTCTCCGCGGGAGATGGGACTGGCAGGGCTGCACACGCAGCCCCGCTGGGTGGATGCTGCTGGCCCCTCAGCCGGCCCGGCATGCACGAGAGGCCGGCTCGCCCTTGACGGAAGGGGGCGATGGTGGTGGGGAGCTCACCCCCTCCAGAAAACCTGCACTCCGCACACGCCAGCCTTGCGTTCCAAGGATGCAAGACCGGGCCCGTCCTGCTCTGCCCTCGGATGGCACACCTGGAATCGCGTGGGCCAGAGAAGCTCCCGCTTGCCAGAGGCCTCTTTCCCGTCTGCTCAGACATCCTCGGCCCACGTGAAGCCTGAAAACATTTCACTGGGATGCAAGAGGCCATTGTTCAAAGGAAAGCAGGAATCATTCGCCGAAGGGCCTGCTGTCACGGCGGGATGGAACATTTCATTAGCTGTGCGTTAAATTACTGTTTTGCAAAAAATAAAAAACCACTATTATGATAACATGTATGTCTATCCCACCTATTCCCAGTGTTGGGGCTCAGGATGGCTCACAGCGTTAAAAGATAAACCATTAAATCAGTCATAGGAATATACAAAAGTGAATGGCATAATTAAATCAGTAAAATATTTAAAATACCTGCATTAGAAGTAGGAAAAGAACAGAACTAGCTGAGTGCAAACTCATGCATGGGCCCAGGCCATCCCTTCTTGGTCGACTTGAGGCAGTTCCTCGCCTCATACGACAGATAGACTGCTCTGCCCCCAGCCCACCTGTCCTGCAGGCATGCCTTCCCCCACCAGGCATCTACTGGTAGGCTTGGACCAACACCCATCATCCAAAGCCCGCATAGCCCATGCTGCCAGGAGCAGTTCTAATTCACAGCAAAATTCATTCCAGGACGTTATGACGTGCTTTGAACTGCACCGAGTTGGGAGCTGGGAAACTTGCAGTGTGAGGGCCCATTTCAACTTGGGAGAAACTCTCGAGGTCACTTCACATGCTGGGCGGGGCCAAAGGTAACAGAGGAGGGGTGCAAAATGCCAGGAGCTCCCAGCTTTGATCTCCTCCTGCCCATCACTAAGGGGGGGGCATTTCAATGGTTGAGGCAGGGACAAAGCTTTGAAAAAGCCAGGAGACGGGCCAACAGAGGGCAGCCTGGCCATCTGAGGAACCCCAAAGGACAGGTCTGGCCCCTGGGCCAGAGGGTCCCCAGCCAGGGGGCGTTTCAGTCCGGGCCTCTGCACATGCCCAGAGGAGCAGAGTCAAGGAGGCACAGCCCGTTCCAAGGGCCTCCAACCTTGTGCCAGAGGCCTCTGTACAGCATGAGTTCAGACCTAGGGCATGAGCGATCCGCCCCTTTCATGGCAGTCCTCCTGTAGAGGAGGAAGAGGAGGAAGACAGGGAGGGGGGCAGGAAGAGTCGAGAGCGGCCTGCCTGCGGTTTGTCCTGCTGCCCCAGCCTGGAGCCCGCAACAGAGGACCCCCAAAGGGATGTCACCTGCCCCTGGACTAAGGGGACTCTGCGATGTGCTACTACGTAGGAGGAGAGGCCCCCTGTGGCGGCGCCCCTGAAGCGCTCGGCCACCTCAGAACTCATTGTCTATGTTCCAGATGTCCCCCGAGAGGGCATTGGCAGCCCCCTGGATGATCCACGTGGCCAGGGCCAGCTGGTTCCTGAACAGGGTCTCGTTGAAGGCGTCTGGCTTGGTTCTCCGGAGGCGGAGGTGGTCCACCAGCGCTTGCAGAGTGTGGGGGCCGGAACCAAAAAAGACGTGGCGGAAGGGAACGTCCGTGGGAGAGACATACGGGGAGAGGAAGTGGTACTCCACCTGAGAGGAGAGGAGAGGAGAGGAGAGATGGACATGGACACCCACCCCCGAGAACATGCCTTTGGGCAAGGCAACACAGATCTGCGTTGAAGGGGCAACCAGAACCCCCAGGAGCAGCCAGCCAAGACCGAGCATGAGCACCTGACCAGCTCGGGTGTGAGGGGCCCTGGAGAGCTTTCTGGGCATAGACCCAGTTCCTTCGAGGCTGTGGGGGAGTGGGGGGCTTGGGTCAATCCAGCTTCACTCAGATCAGTGAGTCCTCCCACACGGGCCTCTTTATGGCCCAGGAGGGAGGCAGGGAGGGAGGGGAAAAAAAGACGACGACTCACCTTCATGATCCGGTCATTCAGCTCACGACAAGCAAGCTTGTTGTCCAGGTCAGTGTTTCCGAAATCTTCCGTCAGGCCAGTGACGGCTCGAGTGAAATCTCCATGGGCCCCAAAAAGCCACTGGAGGTCCAAGCCCAGGCCCTGCAAGGAAGAGAAACATAGAAACAGGGCAAGTCAGAAGGGGTCGCCCGGGCCATCTAGTCTGACCCCCGGCTCCAGGCGGCTCCGCTCACAACATGCCCACCATGTGGACGTCCAGCCTGTCCTTGAACGCCCGCACCAATGGGGCCTCAACCACCTCCCGTAGAAGCCCATTTCACACCCTGGGGGTCCTGACTGTCAGGAGGTGCTTCCTGGCATCCAAATGGATCCTTGGCTCCCTGAGCTTGGCTCCGTTGGAGCGCGTCCTGCCTTCCTCTGCAGGGGAGAACAGGTCTCTGCCCACCTCCGTGTGACATCCCCTCACATACCTGCATGTCGCCAACAGATCCCCTCTGAGTCTCCTCTTCTCCAGGCTGAAGAGACCCAGTTCCCTCAGTCTTGCCTCATTTGGCCTCCCCAGCAAACCGGCCACCAACCCTGTGGCCCTTCGCTGCACTGACTCTAACCTGGCTATATCCTTCCTGTAATGAGGGCCCCAAAACTGAGCACAATACTCCAGTTGCGGGCGCACCAGAGTCGTGTAGAGCGGTAGTGATACCTCTCTCTATCTAGAAGCCACACTTCTGGCTATGCAACCAAGGGTGGTGTTCACCCTCTTGGCCACCGCATCACACGGCTGGCTCATGTTCAGCCTGCAGTCAACCAGCACCCCGAGGTCCCTTTCACAAGTGCTGCTCTCCAGCCACTTGTCCCCTAACCTGTACTTATGACACCTTTTCCTATGCCCCAAGTGCAAGACCTTGCACTTATCCACATTGAACGCCATCCTGTTGTCTCCTGCCCACTTCCATAGTCTGTCCAGATCCTTTTGGATCCGGAGTACCTGCTCCTCAGTTGTGGCCACTGCTCCAGTTTTAGTGTCGTCTGCGAATTTGATCAGCAGACTGTTCACCCCTCCTTCCATGTCATTTATGAAAAGATTAAAGAGGATCAGCCCCAGGACAGAGCCCTGGGGGACCCCGCTTGTCACTGGCCGCTATCCCGATGATTCCCCACTAATGGTTACCTTTTGCTTTCGGTCAGTCAACCATGCCCTAATCCACCGGACAGTGCTTTGGTGGATCCCAAAACTCCTCAGTTTCTCCACCAGGATATCACAGGGCACTTTGTCAAAGGCCTTGCTGCAATCCAGGTAAACCACATCCACTGCATCCCCTCCATCTAGCCATCTCGAAACCTTGCCATAGAATCCCACAAGGTTTGTCTGGCAGGACCTGTTTTTGCGGAAGCCGTGTTGTGTGTTGTGTGGCTGTCAGCCTCCCTTCCCTATCTAGCATCACTA